AATAAAGAATAAATAATAGGATAAAAGATAAACATTTTTTTACGCTCAAGAGATTGATGACAAAATTCGATGGATACCAGTCGAAAGAACAAGCTGGTTTTAGAAAGGGATTCAGCACCAGTGACCATTTGCCAAGTATGAAAATACTTATAGAATGAGCAAATAAATACCACATTCCTCATATATGGCGTTCATAGATTTCGAAAAGGCTTTCGACAGAGTCGAACATTGATTAACAGCAGAATTGACCACAGATATACGGAACTAATAGCCAATATATATAAGGAAGCCAAAACAACAATTAAAGTGTATGAAGGAACAAAATCAATACAAATAAATAGAGGAGTGAGACAGGGTGATACAATATTACCGAAACTTTTCAATCAGGCTCTTGAAGATACTTTTAAAAGATTAGAATGGGAAAAAAAGGTATAAAAATTTGTGGACAACGCTTGAACCATCTTAGGTACGCTGATGATATCGTATTGATAACTGATAAAAAAGAAGAATTATTTGAAATGATGAAAGAACTGGACGTAGAAGCTGAAAAGATAGAATAGATAGAAAAAAAATTAATATGAATTACAGCAAGACCAAAACCATAACAAATACAGATGAAGACATCACAATGAGAATCGGACAAGATGAAATAGAACAAGTTCAGAATTATATATATCTTGGTCAAACTATAAAACTTAACAAAAGAGAACCAAACAGCAGAGATAAAGAGACAAGTTAGACTGGCATGAGCGGCATTTGGCAAACTAAGCTACATTCTTAAAGACAAAAGATATCCGCAGCATCTTAGAACCAAAGTATACAATCAATGCGCACTCCCTGTTCTTACTTACGATTCCAAAACGTGGACATTTACAAAATCAAACATGGACAAAATCATAAAAACCCAAAAAGCAATGGAAAGACAGATGTTGCACATAGACTACTGGAGAAAAAGAGAAACGAGTGGATAAAAGAGAAATCAAAAGTGAGGGATGTTAGACAAAAAGTTGCAAAATTGAAATGGAGATTTGCCGGACACAATATAAGACAAAAAGTAGACCGATGGAACAAAATTCTTATAAGTTGGATACCGTGGAAATATAAACAAAGCAGAGAAAGGCCCCAAATGAGATGGGCAGATGATATCAAGGAGCACGTGGGCTCTAGGTGGATGACTGTAGCGATAGACAGAGAAGAATGGAAAAGGATTGGGGAGGTTTATGTCCAAAGATGGACCGAAGAAGGCTAATTAGATAGATAGATCCTTTAATGAGATTATTATAGTCTTTCCTAAGTTTTAACTTAAACATTTCAGGCCTCCGTTCTTTTCTAGTATTTTCTCTAACACATAAATGCCACATGAAAATGGTTTCAAAGTTAATGGTATTTTAAATATAAAAATATTTTATTTGACATAATTAACAGAGAAATAACATAAGAGTAAGAACGTTTTTCATTTTCATCGATAACTTAAAAAATACCTTGTCAAGCAAGCATAGCAAAGTGGATAAAATATGCGTAGTGGAGTTACCTTTATTAAATATTTCTCCGTCTTCTTAAACGTGACCTTAATTCATATCCTTACAGAGTTCTATTACCTTCAACAAACATTTAAATTTAAATAGAAGAGGAATATTTGTGGCGTTTATGTGCAGGAAGCGAAGAAAGGCGGGTGGAGCAGAAAGTGTTTTCGGAATTTGACACAAGGGACTCTAACAGGAGTTCTCAAATACTCACGAGGACCGGTTTCCAAGAAAAATATACTTCAGTCTCTGCATATTCTTAGCTTTTCCAAATGATTTTATAGAGGATTTGTCGTAAATTGGAAATATAACTGAAAGTATCTGTTCACAATATTACTATTGTAAAGAATAATTATTATTCATTAGTAGACATAAAACAACAAACCAATTATTACAAAGGTATTGCATTAATTAATATTAAACACAGACTACCCTATAGTATACATTAAAAATAAACATTAAAATGCAATAGTACTCCAATATCTCTATGTATACACTAGTGGCCAAAATTCTGGAGACTTTACAAAAATTATCGTTTTTTTAGTAAGACTCGTCTCATGATTTATATAGTTTACCATTACAATTATATTTTTATTTTATTATTTTATATTCCTGCATAATATTTTATGTATTTCTTACTCTTTTTTTATTAATATCATTATGTAATAAAATATGGAACCAGATTCAAGCGAAACGCCGAAAATTTTTAAATGACAATATTGGCAATACTGTATTGCGTCAGGGTTTGTTTCGTGCGGCTTCTAGTGTTTATTAGTGACATCAGGTAGTTGTTACTAAGGTAATATTGTTTAATTGTTGGAAAGGAATTCATCAGCGTCGGTTCAACCAAAAAGGGCAACCATTAACCCAAAACGTGTTGACTGATTGCCAGGAAAGATAGCCAAAGCAATTATCCTTCGAGAAGATGGTTACACTTATCAAGAAATAGCAAAAAAATTGGGTTGTGGTGCCACATAATAAGGTGTAATGAAAGTTTGCAAACGTGAAACGACAAAATCAGCAAAAAGATCTGGCAGAAAACCTAAAGTTAGTCACTACGATGTGCGTAGATTTTGCCGACTTTCTTTAGAAGATCGTGGCAGATCCGCAAAAGATATTATCGGTATTGTCAAATCAACTGTAGTACAAATATCGGACCACACTATCAGAAGAAAGTTGTGCGAAAATGGATTGCGAGCACGAATATATAGAAAGAAGCTGTTCCTGAACCAAAAACAGAGGCAAAAACGCATTGAGTGGGCTTTGGCACAGAGAGGGTGGACAGAAGAAAAATGGAGTAAACTAATTTGGAGTGATGAAAGCAAAATCTCGATATTTGGGAGTGACGGAGTGAAGTTTGTTCGCAGCCGACCGGGAGAAGACCTTTTGCCCCAGTGTACTACGGTCACTGGGGCAGTCTGTCCTAAAAAGCAAAAGTTATCCTACCAAATACTAATTTTGGTGATAATAATCCTTGTACCACTTTTTTTAAATATATCTACTAATAACTAACATCTGTTGTTTTATTTATTTTGAAATTTTAGAGGATTTTCTTCCTTAAAATAGATGTTAAATATTAAGTAGAAGCATATATAAATAACATAAGTCTTGTGAAAAAGGGGAATGCTGATAATAAAACTAAAATTTTTAAAAAGTTTCCAGAATTTTGGCCACTAGTGTATTGGAAAAATCGTGCTGACAAAAAATTTACTCATACATCAAACGCCAAAAAATATTTTTTGATCATATTGGTTTAAAGATCTCCAAACCGAAACAGGTTTTGATTTTATTATAAATTTTAATATTGAACCAGCCCTTCTTTTGATATTTAAAATGTTCTGATCTAAAAGTAACTATAAACGATTATACTAGAACCATATCAAAGTTCAAAAGTTGCATCAATAACATATTGACGAATTTTTCTCAAATATAGTGGGTAAATTTGAACTTTGTTTTTCTGACCATCGATCTTAATTTTTATTTATTGACTCTGAGCATAAAGTTGTTGAAAGGAGTCAAATATTTCAACAGTTTAATACTTCTTCTGGGTTACAGAAGCTTATAACGTCTCATCTATATGGCAGACACCAGATGGTAGTATTTAAAGGTCACCTCTCTGATTTTTTATTCGTAAAATATGGAGTCCCACAAGGTTCGGTCTTAGTATCTCCGTACAAATCCAACCTATCCAAGTACCGACATAGGATCAGATCACAACCCAGTACCAAGTGGCCAAAATTAGGCACAAAATGAAAATAATAAAACGAAGAACAATAAATGCAAAAATCGATACAAGTAAGTTAAGGAACCAACTCATAAGGCAACGCCTGGCAGATGAAATCAACAACGGATTAACGAATGTTAACGAAAAATTCTGCAAAATACTGAGACGGAGAAAAAATGGTTATTATTAAAGACAGAAATAGATAAAATTAAAAAAAAAAAATCGAATACCAACCAGATATAAAAAGAAGCAATGGAAGAAATTTAAGATTTAATCAAAGAGTGATGTTAATATAAGAACAAAAATAATCAGATGTACAAAAAATAAACAAATAAAATACAGAATTAAGAAAGCGAGAAATCAATGGTTAAATGAACAATGCGCATAAATAGAAGAATACCAGAAAAGACATGATAGTTTTAACACGCATAAAAAATTAAAAAATTAACTTACAACAATAGAACAAGAAAACCGGGAATACAGAAATATTCAAAAGGGAAACTTGTGTTGAATACTAACGACAAATTAAAGAGATGGACATAATACATCAATGAACTGTTCAAAGACAATAGAACAGAACAGATAGAAATATAAGTAAAATAGGATATGGTTTTAAAGATATTAAAAGAGGAAATTAAAATGGCATTAAAAAACAGCAAAAATGGTAAAGTATTAGGTCCAGATGAAATCCCTATAGAAATCTTAAAATGTATGAATGATGAAACCTTAGACAATATAGTAAACTTATTTAACTCAGTATAAAAAACAGGACACATACCGAAACAATGGTTACTCTTTACCTTTTGTGCTAGCCCTAAAAATACAAACGCTTAATATTCCAGTGAATACAGAACAATATCACTAATAAGTCACATTCTTAAATTATTCCTGAAAATAATACATGGTCGTATAAATAAAAAACTGGAAGAAGGAATAGATGATAGTCAGTTTGGGTTCAGAAACGGAGTAGGAACCAGAAAAGCGTTATTTGCTTTCAATTTGTTAGCTCAAAGGTGCCTGGATATGAATGTTGAATGGTGCCTGAATGTGCATGTTTGTTACGTTAATTTTGAAAAAGCGTTTGACAAAGTAAGATTGAAAAATTAGTCCAAATTCTACAGACCAAAAACATAGATCACAAAGATTTACGAATAATTACAAACCTCTACAGGAATTAAAGAGAACATATCGTAATAGATAACGAACCCAGTCCAGAAATTGAAATCATGAGAGGAGTTAGGCAGAGATGTATTATTTCCCTATTACTATTTAATGTATATAATGAAGCCATTTTTGAAGAAGCATTGCACTCTCAAAGTGAAGGAATAATAATTAACGGAAGATCTATTACCAACATAATATATGCAAATGACAGCGTGATTACGGCAAGCTTTGCTGAACAACTAAAATTAGTGCTAAACAAAACAACCAGTTTCTGTGAAAAATATTGACTAAAAATGAATATAAAAAAGACCAAATACATGATAATAACAAAATAAGAAAACAAATATACCAACAAACATACATTTGGGAAATATAGCGATAGAAAGGGTTGATAAATACAAATACCTCGGAACCTGGATTTTAGACAATAATGATCAAACAACTGAAATAAGAGCTAGGATAGAAATAGCCAGAAATGCGTTTGTAAAAATGAAAACAATTCTCTGCAACAAAGATCTTAGATTAGAACTAAGAGTAAGAGCACTGAGATGCTACGTGTTTTCGATACTGCAATATGTACTTGAAAGCTGGAAATTAAAGCAAGAACACATAAATAGGTTACAGTCCTTTAAAATTTGGTGTTACAGGAGGATGCTTAGAATAGCATGGGTACAGAAGAAAACTAACACGGAAGTATTACGAGAGATAGGCAAAAAATGCGAAATATTCAACAAAATAAAAATAAGAAAGTTACAATATCTGGGACAAATAATGAGGGTACAGCGATATGAACTGCTAAGGCTGATAATACAGGGAAAACTAAGAGGGGGAAGAAGTATAGGAAGAAGGAGAGTGTCATGGTTAAATAATTTAAGGGACTGATTTAAATGCAGTTCTATAGAACTTTTCAGAGCAGAGGTAGCTAAAGTAAAGATAGTGATGATGATATCCATCTCCGATTGGGAGACGGCAGTTAAAGAAGTAGTACAAATCCATGCAATTCGTAAATAATACAACATACGTTATATATCAGAAAAAAATAATGACGATTTAAAAATGTCTTATGGGAAAATTTCTATTAAATCTAGCACATGGTTTGCTGCAAACAAACTAAAACTTAACTTTGATAAAACGTAAAATCTGGCTATCTCTGCATGTAATTAACACAATAATTAATATAATAAAGAGACTGTTCGGACTGAAACTTACAGAAAACCGGCCAATTTTATAAAGCAGTCTGATGTTTACGTTCACAATATGCGAAACTGTCACTACTTACGAACAAATCACTCTAGATTGCGTCTTTCAGATAAAAATTTCCTTAATTAAAACTATTACCATATTTTACCAAAAATTAATAAACAGCTAAGCTGTAATAATTTCAAAAAAGTTAGAAAAAAATATCTTCTGAAACATTGCTTTTACTGCTCAGAAGAGTATATAACTCATTGCAGAACATCCACTGACCTGCTTACCGTGACTATGCTATAAATCATTTTCTGTTTTAATATGTATTTATGTTTGTGATATATTTTAATTATGTTTCATATTCTTTTTTTTAATACTGTATATTTTTAACTTGCTACAAACAATATTGGGATGTATTAAGTAGTTAAATATATAAATTATATGCCATCTAAGCCATTGTTTATTACCAGAATAATATCAAATGATGTCAATATATTATGTACCTGCAAATTGTTGTATTGTCGGAATTTTGAGAGTATGTGTTTATATATATTATATATTACATATAATATATTTATATATATATATATATATATATATATATATATATATGTATATATATATATATATACGGATATCTTGGGTTTAGTAGTAAATATTGGCCTTTAAGTAAAACTCTTTTAGGTTTGTTAAGCTTTCGAGTTTATTGTACTCTTTTTTAAAACGTACTAAAAATTAACATAAAAAATTACATCAGAAAAATGAAGTTGTTATATCTTCAATAGGCTTACCCTTGTGAGGATTGTGTTTTAAAATTAGCAAAATTAATTAACATAATGACATTATTAAATTTGATTTACTTTTTCGTTCTGTCAAAACTTATTACTAAGGTTTACATGTCTCTTCTATTTTTATATTTGTTTTAGGTTAGTTTGACAGAGGAAGTATCTATGTTTATGCAAACCTTCATTGCAAATTTTGATATAATATGTAGAAATGTTTCGTTTGCAGTTGTTAAACAAGCAACATAGTTTATGTTACTAAGTAATTAAGAAAAAAAACACAAATAAAAATAAATTCTATCTTATTTGAACTTGGAATAATCCCTTTAATATGCGTAACTTTTAAGAACTTTTATATTGTTATTCTTTTATTTAAAAGAAGATTACTGTATATAGCACTTAGATTTTCAATGTCTTCTCTTTTGTTTAAGGTGTTTTGTGTAGTTTTAATTTAACACATTTCTAGAAACAGTCTTTTGTTTTAATTTTTTTCCTTCTCAATATTTCTGTTTGATCATAGTTAGGCGTATGGCCCATTGTAATACAATGTTCACTTAATGCACAGGCTTGTACTTTATTCAGATTAATGTCACTCTTGTGAGATGTTAATCTTCCGGATAAATTTCTGGACGTTTCTCCAATATATACTCTATTACAATTATTACTGGGTAGAGAGTACACTACATTGGAGCTTTCTTTATTATTTAAGGGTGTTTTAATTGTAATAGAGTATATATTGGAGAAACGTCCAGCAATTTGTCCGAAAGATTAACATCTTACAAGAGTAATATTAATCTGAATAAAGTACAAACCTGTGCATTTAGTGAACATTGTATTACAATGGGCCATACGCCTAACTATGATCAAACAGAAATATTGAGAAGGGAAAGAAATTACAATAAAAGACTGTTTCTAGAAATGTGTTTAATAAAAACTACACAAAACACCTTAAAAAAAAGAGAAGACATTGAAAATCTTAGTGCTATATACAGTAATCTTCTTTTAAATAAAAGAATAACAATATAAAAGTTCTTAAAAGTTACGCATATTAAAGGAATTATGCCAAGTTCAAATAAGAAAAAATTTATTTTTCTTTTTGTTTTTTTTTTCTTAATTACTTAGTAACATAAACTCTGTTGCTTGTTTAATAACTGCAAACGAAACATTTCTACATATTATATTAAAATTTGGAATGAAGGTTTGCATAAACATACACGCTTCCTCTGTCAAACTAACCTAAAATAAATATAAAAAATAAAAGATACATGTAAACCTTAGTAATAAGTTTTGACAGAACGAAAAAGAAAAACAAATTTAATAATGTCATTATGTTAATTAATTTTGCTAATTTTAAAACACAATCCTCACAAGGGTAAGCCTATTGAAGATATAACAACTTCATTTTTCTAATTTAATTTTTTATGTTAATTTTTAGTAAGTTTTGAAAAAGATAACTCGAAAGCTTAACAAACCTAAAAGAGTTTTAGTTAAAGGCCAATATTGACTACTAAACCCAAGATATAAGTATATATTACTCACATAGTCACTAAAGCCCTTTCTAAGAGAGTATATATATATATATATATATATATATATATATATATATATATAAATGCGAATTTTAAAGTACCACCTCTGACTACGCAAAGCTGAACGAAATCGAGCTCCACATTTTAAAGTTTTGTGGACAACCCTTTTGAAAGACAATATTTATTAATCTTTATTCTCCAAAACCTCAGTTCTTGGTCTTTAAAGTGCAGCGTATTAGGTTTCTTAATTGTTAGAAACTAACAAGCTACGAACTAAAAGAAGTGACTAACTTTGTCCCTAATTCTTGTAGGAAAACCTTCTTTAGTTATGAAAAAATCCGGTTTTTAAAATATGAAAAAATATATTTTTTGCAAGCAATAATAAAAAAGATTACCTAAGTGTTTATAGGCTTAATTTTTTAATGTTTTCGCAATCAAGTTTTGCAATGTTGTAGATGGTTTATTTTGTAAATTCCTTTAATAGAATAACTCCCTCTTCTGTTTATGCAATCTGTAGGATTACTATAAGTTTACTTTTTCTGACTTATTATACAAATTAATTTTTCTCGAAAATGGTGCATTATAAATAGGTTGAAAAAGCATTATTTTTTTGTAAAAAAAATCTAAATTTATTAAATTTTCTAAAAATATTCTCGAAATTTTTCCTCGTTTTGAAACAATCTTTCTTCGACTGTTTTTAAAACATCTTGTGTATTAAGACATGAAAAAAATTCCTGTACATTTTTATTTGTTTTATTTACATTTAACGTTATGAACTCTTCTTCTTCCTCCTGTTCTTGGAGTAATAAAATTATTGCATTAAGTTTGCGAGAATTCATTTTTTTAAATGTACAATCCTTGAGAGAATAAATTTGAAACCAATTTCTAAACTTGTTTTCAGAGCGACAGAATATTTATGCGAAATAATCTTACACCCAAAACTGCCGTGAGTCGATTACAACAGATTCTGCTGTGCCCTGCGCACTGTTCTAACAAACCGTAGCTGTACCCAACTCGAAAAAGTAAGCGAATACAAATACTTGGGAACCCTCATCAATGACACAGCTGACCAAAATCACGAGAATAAAGGACGTATTGAAATTGCCAGGTCTATCTTTATAAAAATGAAAAAATTATTTTGTCATCGTGATATTAGTATTCATTAACAAACTAGAATGTTAAAATGCTATGTATTTAGTTCTTTGCTTTGCGGTGTTAGGGAATGGACTCTTAAACAGAGAAATGTTAAAAATCTTGAAAGCTTTGAGATATGATGCTACCGTTGTATAATAAAAATAAGTTGGGTGGATAAAACTACAAATGAAGAGGTAATACGCAGAATACTTAACGATCCAGAAGTTATACTGAATATAAAAAGGAGAAAACTTAAATACTTAAGCCATCTGATGAGAGGACAAAAGTAAACGTTTCTACAAAATATAAGATTTGGCTGTACCAATAACAAATTATTTAAAACAGCAGTAAATAAAGTTAGAATCACCCTAATGATATCCAATCTCTGATAGGAGAGGCACTCAAAGAAGAAGAAGCATATTTATTTCTGATATCAAAAAGAATTTCTCTGGACACTTCAAATAGACACACAAAATAAAAATGAACTTCTCTTTGTGTTTTTTAACAATTTAAAAAATTATTTTATTTCAAAACTGGTTTAGTTGAAATTATGATTTATTATTTAAAATTTAACTTTGCATTATTACAATAATTGCAACTAAGGTTTTTTTCCTGGGTTATACACTATTCCTATTCAATAAATTTAGTTAACACAAAACTATTAATTTTTATTTTTATATTAAAAATAAATACTTCTATATTTTTAGAAATAAGAATGAACTAGATTTTTACTAAATTAATTTTTTGTATACAAGAATTTACTATAATTTTTTACTCGTGATACCAGCTATCCCCGTGGCTTTTTGTAGGTGGTTATAAAATCTCTTATTAGAAATAAATACTATCAAAGTAGCTTTGGCCTACGGTTTGCCTTATTAAAGCTTTTTATAATCCTTTATTTTATTAGTATTTCATTAAAGAGTTAAATATATATTTTATTGTAGGTATTAAAACCTAACAAATTATTTAGAATCCATAGCTTTTCCTTGTGTAAAATTGCTTACTACATACACTACATTCTACCATCTAATTCAAACTTTACCTTTTTCTTTATGTGTATGAGAGCACGTATCAAGATTTCGTTTGACTTAAAATTTCCATACCTTTCGAACGTTCCACTATCGACTTCCAAACTCCGTGCACAAATCAGCGAGAGAAAGTTTTACCGACCGACCTGACTGGTGGCGCCGAAACGGTGTCGTCCGCTCCGGCTGCCGTTAGCCCGTTTCCCTGACGACGATCTGAATCTAGTCCCGTCATAATAGTGTTTTGACCATGAAATAAGCAAGAGGATCCTAAAAAATGGTCCTTTCCCTCGTAATGTAATTTTATTGCGGCTGTTGG